ATGTTAAATATGATATCGAAAACATAAAATGTGGGAGGATGGGAGTAAAAGAGTAGGGATTTTAGCAAGAAATCGAACGAAAGAGACCATCAACCTAATACAGATTGTTACATATGTAGGTTATTATATATGAACCTCATGATAATCACAAACCTGAAATCTATAGTAAGTACACAAAAAATTAAGAGAAAGGAACCCAAAGATAATACTAAAAGAAGCCATAAAACCACAAGGGAAGAGAGCAAGAGAAGAAAAATGAACAGAGAAGAACTACTAAAATACCCAGAAAAAAAAGTAACAAAATGACAGTAAGTACATTCTTATCAATACTACTTTAAAAGTCAATGGAAGAAATCTCCAATCGAAAGGCAGAGGGTGGCCGAGTGGATTAAAGACAAGACCCATATACATGCTGCATACAAGACACACTTCAGATCTAAAAACACTCAAACTGAAAGTGAAGGGATGGAAAAAGATACTCCATGCAAATGTCAATGAAAAGAAAGCTGGGGCAGCAATGATTATATCGGATAAAATAGACTTTAAAACAAAAACTGTAACAAGAGACAAAGAAGGGCACTACATAATGACAAAGGAACAACTCAACAAGAGGGTGTAACACTTGTAACTATCTATTATATTTACTTTTCTGTTTTTTTTAAGATTAGCACCTTCGCTAACATCTGTTGCCAATCTTTTTCTTCTTTTTTCTTCTCCCCAAACCGCCCCCCCGCCCCGGTACATAGTTGTATATTCTAGTTCTGGGTCCTTCTAGTTGTGGCATGTGAGATGCCACCTCCGCATGGCCTGATAAGCAGTGCCATGTCCATGCCCAGGATCCAAACCGGTGAAACCCTGGGCCACCAAAGCTGGAGTGCACAAACTTAACCACTCGGCCACAGGGCTGGCCCCTATTATATTTACAATATAAACATATTAGCAATTATTTTTATTTTTTATTTTTTATGTGAGGAAGATTGGCCATGAGCTAACATCTGTTGCCAATCTTCCTCTACTTTATGTGGGACGCCACCACAGTATGGCTTGACGAGTGGTGCTGGGTCGGTGCCTGGGATCCAAACCTGAAAACCCCAGGCCTCCGAAGCAGAGCACACGAACCCAACCATTATGCCACTGGGCTGGCCCCTAAAGCAATTATTTAATATATAAATATATAAAGCAATTATTAACAGACATAAAAGGAGAACTAGACAGCAATGCAATAATAGTAAGGGACTTTAACACTCCACTTACACCAGTGGATAGAGCATCCAAACAGAAGATCCATAAGGAAACACTGGCCTTAAATGACACATTAGACCAGATGGACTTAGATCTATACAGAACATTCCTTCCAAAAGCTGCAGAATACACATTCTTTTTGAATGCACATGCAACACTGTCCAGTACACATCACAAATTAGGCCACAAAACAGGTCTCAATAAATTTAAGAAGACTGAAATAATATCAAGCATCTTTTCTGACCACAACTGTATGAAACTAGAAATCGACTATATGAATAAAATCAGAAAAACCCCAAATATGTGGAGATTAAACAAAATCCTACTGAACAACAACTGGATCAATGGAGAAATCAAAAAATACCTGGAGACAAATGAAAATGAAATACAACATGCCAAAATTTTTGGGATATAGGAAAAGTGGTTCTAAGAGGGAAATTTATAGTACTACAGGCCCACCTCAACAAGAAAAATCTCAAATAAACAATCCAACAGTGTACCTAAAGGAACTGGGAAAAGAAGAACAAACAAAGCCCAAAATCAGTAGAAGGAAGGAAATCATAAAATCAGAGCAGAAATAAATGAAATAGAGACTTAAAAAAAATAGAAAAAAATCGATGAAACTAATTTTGAAAAGATAAACAAAATTGACAAACCTTTAGCTAGACTCACCAAAAAAAAAAAAGAGGGAAGGCTGAAATGAATAAAATCAGAAATGAAAGAGAGAAATTACAATGGACACCTCAGAAATACAAAAGATTATAAGAGAATACTATAAAAAGCTATACACCAACAAGTTGGATAATCTAAAAGAAACGGATGAATTCTTAGAATCATACAACTTTCCAAAACTGGATCAAGAAGCAGCAGAAAATCTGAATTGACAAATCACCAGTAAGGAGATAGAAAGAGTAACCAAAAATCTCCCAAAAAATAAAAGTCCAGGATGAGATGGCTTCCCTGGTGGATTCTACCAAACATTCAAAGACTTAATACCTATCTTTCTCAAACCATTCCAAAAAATTGAAGAGGAGGGGAAGCTCCCTAACTTATTCTATGAGGCCAACATTGCCCTGATACCAAAACCAGACAAGGACAGCACAAAAAAAAGAAAATTACAGGCCAATATCACTGATGAACATTGATGTAAAAATCCTTAACAAAATACTAGCAAATCGAATACAATAGTACGTTAAAAAGATCATACACCATGATCAAGTGGGATTCATTCCATGAATGCAGGGATGGTTCAACACCCCCAAATCTATCAACGTGATACGCCACATTAACAAAATGAATAAAAATCACATGATCATCTCAATAGATGCAGAGAAAGCATCTGACAAGGTAACAGCATCCGTTTATGATAAAAACTCTGAATAAAATGAGTATAGAAGTACCTCAACATAATAAAGGCCATATATGACAAACCCACAGCTAATATCATTCTCAATGGAGAAAACTGAGAGCTATCCCTTTAAGAACAGGAATCAGACAAGGATGCCCACTTTCACCACTCTTATTTAACACAGTATTGGAAGTCCTAGCAAGAGCAATCAGGCAAGAAAAAGAAATAAAAGGGATTCAAATTGGAAAGGAAGAAGTGAAAGTGTCACTATTTTCAGATGATATGATTTTATATAGAGAAAATCCTAAAGAATCCACCAAAAAACTTTTAGAAATAATAAATGAATATGGTAAAGCTGCAGGAAAGAAAAGCAACATACAAAAAACAGCTGTGTTTCTATACACTAACAATGAAGTAGCAGAAAGAGAAATTAAGAACACAATCCCATTTACAATTGCAACAAAAAGAATAAAATACCTAGGAATAAAGTTAACCAAAGAGGTGAAAGATCTGTACACTGAAAACTATAAAACATTGTTGAAAGAAACTGAAGAAGACACAAAGAAATGGAAAGATATTCCATGCTCTTGGATTGGAAGAATTAACACAGTTAAAATGTCCAGGGACCAGCCCAGTGGCTCAGCAGTTAAGTGCACACGTTCCGCTTCAGTGGCCCGCAGTTTGCCGGTTCGGATCCGGGGTGCAGACATGGCACCACTTGGCAAGCCATGCTGTGGCAGGCGTCCCACATATAAAGTGGAGGAAGATGGGCATGATGTTAGCTCAGGGCCAGTCTTCCTCAGCAAAAAGAGGAGGATTGGCAGCAGTTAGCTCAGGGCTAATCTTCCTCAAAAATAAATAAATAAATAAAATAAAAAATACAATGTCCATACTCCCTAAAGTAATCTACAAATTCAATGTAATCCCTATCAAAGTTCCAACAACATTTTTCACAGAATTAGAACAAAGCATCCTAAAATTTATATGGAACAACAAAAGACTGCGAATATCCACAGGAATCCTGAGAAAAAAGAAGAAAGCCAGAGGTATCACACTCCCTGATTTCAAAATATACTACAAAGCTATAGTAATCAAAACAGCATCGCACTGGCACAAAAACAGACACAGTGATCAATGGAACAGAATTGAGAGCCCAGAAATAAACCCACGCATCTATGGACAGCTAATTTTCAACAAGGGAGCCAAGAACATAAATGGAGAAAGGAAAGTCTCTTTAATAAATGGTATTGGGAAAACTGGACAGCCACATGCAAAAGAATGAAAGTAGACCATTCTCTTATACTTTCCTCTGAGATTGAGAACAAAAACGTACCCATCAGCACTTCTAGTCAGCACTGTATTGGAGGCCAGCAAAACAAGGCAACTAAAAATAGAAAGCATAAGAACTAAGGGAAAACCATCATTATTCAAGATGGCATGACTGGGTGCAAAGATAATCCAAAAGAATCTACGGAGAAAATTATTAGAATCAATAAGTAATGAGGCAAGATAATGGGATACAAAGTCAACATACAAAACCTCATTGTATTTCTAGATGTTGAAACAAAAACAAAATTTACAGCAGACACTATTTACATTAGCATCAGAAAACTGACTACCTAGCAATAAAAATAACGAAATACGTGTGAGACCTCTACACCAAACCCTACAGAACATGACTGAGAGAAATTAAAGAAAATCTAAATAGTAGAGGGATAGACCATTTTCATGGATTAAAAGACTCAATATTGTAAAGATATCAAATTCTCCCCCAAAATGACGTACGGATTCCAATTTGCAATCTCTGGCTTATCCAGATCCATCTTACCTTTAAAGTTTTCAAAACCTATCACTCCAGATTAAGGAAACATTCCCTATAACTACCAATCATGATGCTCGGTCATTTAAAATCACGTGTTTACATGCTGCCCTTGACAGACTGAGAAGAGCACACTCCACACAAAGCTTTTGCTTAAGACTGAAAATCACCTCTTAATCTGTTCATCTTTAAAACTGCTCAAACAAGTATTGTTTGCCAAATTAATCTCTTATTAATTTTCATCTAAACACAGAATTCTGCCATTCCTGTTTAACTGTGGACACAATATGATCTAAGGTCCTACAGTTGATGTGGCCCCCAAGTCTGCAAAGCCACTTTTTAGTATTCTTTTGGACACGATCCATCAGTGGACCCCACCCTGATTGAACACTACCATCAAACAGGAGCTGTAAAGAACCACAATGATGCTGTGGCTCCCGGCTAAATGCATCAGAATCCCAGGGAACAGGACGCCAGCTTCCAGTATTTTTCACAAGCTCCCAGTGGGATCTCACGTGCAGCCACGGCTGAGCCCTGAGTTACAAACAGCAAGAGAGAGAGGCACAGAGACAGACAGACAGATACACTTACTTCCTTCTGGGTTTGGTGCAGAAAGAATGATGCTGTGGTTTTTCTTCACATCTTCAACATACTGAGCTATTTTAGCTATACTGGTTCTGATCTCCTCAACCTAGGAGAAACATAAAAAGTCATCACTGGTGTCACAAACTCAAACTTGCTAACACTTTTCATGCCCTAAAAGGAGAAGGATAAAGGAGGGAAATAAATGAATAATCACCACACAAAGAAACTAAAGCCTTCTCCCATCCTCACATTGATAATCATTTAATTTAAACAATAAAGAAAGTACCACACTAAGATGTATACCTCTATGGCTAAGGCAATATCAGTCAATACTTGCCAGGAGAATCTATTATTTATTTATTGCAATCGAGACCCAAGCATGACCCCAGACGATGCCCACGAGAAGCACAGCTGTTGATGCCAGCACTCCATGCGATCACGGGAAACGCACCCTCCACAGCACGCTGACGTAATATTCTGGTGGGGGGAGGTGTTTTCAGTTGACAAGGCAAAGCCTTCAGAGTCATCATTCTTTACCACTAATAGTCTAAACTATTCAATACTTGTTTTAGTATGTAATGTCCTCATTAGCAAGATTTGTCCAGATAGATACATAACATTATCTTCAAAAACCTCTGTGGAAGGCTGAAGAATGTCCCCCTACAACGTCCAGGTCCCATCCCTGGAACCTGTGAACGTTGCCTTATACGGTGAAAGAAACTGCAGATGTGATTCCACAAAGACTCCTGAGATGGGGGTTATCCTGACTCTCCACGTGGGCCCTCAGCACAACCACAAGTGTACTCAGAGAGAGAAGCAGATGGAGATGTGGCTGCAGAGGAGGCCAACGTGACCACTGAAGCAAGATGCCACGCAGCCGGCTCTGAAGATGGAAGACGGAGCCAGAAGCCCAGGAAGGCAGCTCCAGCGCTGGACCAGGCAAACAGACATACAGATGCCCCCAGAGCCTCTGGGGGCACGACCCTCTGATGCCGTGGCTTCATCCCAGTGAAACCGTTTCGGACTTCTGGCCTCCAGAACTCTAAGAGAGTACGTCTGTGCTGATTGAAGCCACTGAGTTGGTGGCAACTGGCGACAGCAGCCCTAGGAAACCGGTGCAACTTCTCTAAAGACTCAGGAAACCCCAAAGCCCGTCAACGGGGGACTTGTTCTACTTTCCACACGTGGTGAAAACAACAGTACAACTATATGATGGAACACTACGGAACCGTAACAAAGGATCTCAGGATATACTATTAGGTTAAAAACAAGCAACCAAAAAACTAAACACACAAGTGCAGAACAGTGTATGTAGCATGTTAACAACGATGTAAGAAAGAGGTCAAAATAAGCACAGACACTGACATTTACATTAAGAAACACTGAGTCTAAGGCCATTCCATCCTGAACAAGCCTGATCTCATCTGACCTCAGAAGAAATACTGAATGTCTAACAAGAAACTAAAAAAAGGTGTTGCCATCGAGTGGAAGAGGAAAGAGAACAGGGCAGATAAAAACAGCAGTGGGAGCGAGGTTTCTCTATGTCTGTGTATCTTTTCACATCATTTTGATTTTTGAAAAATGTGAATGTATGCCCCACTCAAGAAACAGGTAAAAACATTGAGAGTTAAGAACCCTATAGACTAGAGCAGCAGTTCCCAAATTTTCAGGTCTCAGGACCTCTTTAATTCTTCAAAGTTACTGAAGACCCCAAAGAACTTCGATTCATGTAGGGTATAGCTATCTGTAAACACCATGTTGGAGAAATTGCTTAAACACTTATTAATTTACTTTAAAACAGTAATTACAAACCCACTACATGTAGTGGTGCCTGTCCACATCCTAATCCTGTGACTGCTGCCTTCCACGGCAAAGGGGACTTGGTGGATTTGATTAACTTAAGAGTCTTGAAATAGAAGACTATCCTGGATTATCTGGGTTGCTCCAACACAACCACAAGAGTCCTTATAAAACAGAGGCAAGAGGACCAAATTTAGAAAAAAGAGATGTGATAACAGAAGCAGAGGCTGGAGAGATGACATGCTTTAAGGTGGAGGAAGGGGACGCAAGCCAAGAACGCAGGCACCTCTAGCAGCTGGGGAAAGTAGGGACATGGGTTCTCCCCGGGAGCTTCCAGAAAGAACCAGCCCCGCCCCCACCTTGCTGTGGGCCTCCACACCCGTCTCAGACTGCTGAGCTCTGGAACTGTGAGATGAGAAATGTGTGCTGTGTTCAGCCACTAGGTTTGTGGTAATTTGTTACAGCAGCAGCAGGAAACTAATGCACATGTTAACATAAATAACATATTTTTATGGAAAAAAAAGTATTTTCCCAAAAATCAGTGAAAATAAGAGCTGTGATTTATATTTTTCTGCAAATCTAATTTCTAGCTTAATGGAAGGCAGCTTGATTCTGATATCTGCTTCTGTGTTCACTATGTTGCCACATTACACACTTCACGCAGCCTCTGGAAAACCCCATCACTGCACACTCATGAGAGAATGAGAGGAAAAAGACAAACCACATCTCAGAATTCTTATGGAAATAGTTTTGACCACAAGAACTCCTTGAAAGGGTCTTAGGGGCCCCTGGGACCCCTGGCCCAAGCCCCAGACCATGTTTTGAAAAGCAAGGTGTCAGAGAGTCTAACACAGAATTCTACTTTCACAGAACAGTGACTAGCTATTTCATTAGGCCTGAGTGCTATTTACATACAATTTCTATAGAACTTCATATACCTCACATAACGTAATTTTATTAATCGTGTAAAAACAATACTTAAAATAAAAACTGATTCTCTTAAAATTTTTGCTATTTTATTATGAAGGCTTAAACACAAGTCCTGACATTTTGGTCTTAGCACACAGATGTACATTTCAATTAGCCATCTTTGAAGGACTATTTCTGAAGTAACTTCAGCAGTACACATCTGTCACAAAATAGAAAAAATATTAACTCTTGGAGATTCTGCAATGTCTACACCAATATCTCTGCAGCAGAAGCCTCAAAGTGGCCCCAAAAGAAAAGGAAACTGTTAGGCCCCCAGCTTGGTACCAGGAGGGAAGTGCCGTCGTCACTGTGGTGCCAGCTCCCATTTATGCCTGTGAATGACACGACACAGGGTTTCTCTGTCCATTCCAATTCATCTTCACAAAAAGGAGAGTGCCTGGCCACCTGTCAGAGCAGTCTCAGTCTTAACCAAACACTGGTCATGTGCAAAATTCCTATCTTCGGCAATGTTCTACGTGATAGTTAAGGTTTGAATGTCATTTTCTAAATATGAGTTTGTATTAACAAAGATCATTTGCTTCTCTATTGTCTAAGCAGTCATTTCACAGAAATTAACTATAAAATAAATAGCCTATTTAACAAATGAAAACGCCAAACTTTAGAATCAGTTGCTCTCAAACCTTCCTAACACAAGTCACTTGTTTTTGTCTGCATCTTCCGACACCCACAGCCAAAACGGATTAGCATTGCTTAACAAAGACCATAGCTTAAGACATTCAGTGACAGTGACGGATTGTGCATAATTCTTCTATCAAGTATAAGAACAACATTTAATGGTAGGAGATTCTTTAAAATAAGAAATACGTTTTTACAAAGAACTGATATGGAAGAATTAAGCTTCCAGGTAAGGGGGATAAAATCAGAAAAATAAGGATTTCACAAAGTGGGTAGGTAAGCTAAAAACAAAAAAAGAGTCTCATTTCAAAGTGAAATCAGGAAATTCAGTATCTCACCTCTTTTGTACCTGAAAGTAAGTTCCTGTATCTCACAATTTAATTTCATGTTTTTTCCATTAGAGAAAATTAGGAAGTAACATAAGTACTTGAAACTCACTAACTAGGTATTCCATAAATTCTGGCTGAATCTGGAAAACTGGTAACTTGTAATATATTTTCTTGAACATGTAACATATTTTCCAATCCACGCATTGATGGACTGTTTAGACCGTCAATGGATTTAGCAGTCAGCTGAAACTACGAGACTTGATTCAGCACAATCACAATAAATCCAGCACATGAGGTTTTCCTTATTAAAAAATTACCCTGGACACATGTTTCTTTTCTTCACTGTTGACATAGCCAAAATATTTGTTCTGTTATTCAATTTCAAAAATGTGAAATATGCAAAATTTGATCAAATCTTACTTAGGTTTAAGAATTTAAACACGGTGTAAGCCTAAAAACCTCCCCGGGAGTGAAGAGGGAGGGGGAGGGCCTTGTGGGGAAGCCCGAGAGAACCGACACGGTGCAAGGTCAGACCCAAGGGGCACAGGTCCAGAGTGCACTGAGACCTCAGAGAAAGGCCAAACTGACCATTGCAACAGCAAAGCCGAGCTTCCACAATCACATATTTGCTCAAGTCTAAGACTTCTCAAGGGACAGTCCCATGTGACCTAGAGTCTGATATTTCCAAACGTGGAAAACTTCTCAGGAGAGGAATGTAAAGTTCAATCAAAGATTTTAGAAAATATACAACGTGAGCCCTTTGAGCTATGCGATCAACATATGGGGACTCACTCCCACTCTGTGGAAGGAAAGCACGAGAAGCGCTGGTGAGCCTGTGCACGCCTGACTCAGCAAACCCATCAGCTGGGGGCACCACTGCCACTAGGACCTCCCCTCTCCAGAGGACCACGCGGCCCTCAGTCTGGAGAACAACACTGATCGTAGGTGGAAAACTTTAAAAAATCTATCAGAGGGTGTGGCAGGATGTCCCAGAGGGGACCTGCACTTGGAGGAAGTGCCATCTCCACACCCAGGTACAGGTCAGGGAAGAAGTCTGAGCACATCAGCAGGCAGAACCGCCTTGCCACGCGCCACCCGGCCCATGTGCATGAGTTTCCTCATGTGGGGAGCAGAAGGGTGTGCTGCCCTCCACATCCACAATTCTACCATTCTCATCCAGCCCCCCAAGTCTATCCAAGAAGAATGGCTCAATATTAACGAATATTCAATAGCACTAAAAATTCTAGAGAATCTAAATAATTCAAACAGCAACTTTTTAAAATACTAGTTTTAATATTATTTCAAAATTACAAATACAATAATATAACTGTGTTTAAAGAATAAAGTCCAACTGGGTTTCATTAAATGACTCTTACCTGATGGAAGAAATCATCCATAAAATGGTCCTTTTCAACAACGACAGTTGTGTCCCCATCATCGTTTTTCCTACACTAAAATGGAAAACATAAAATGTAAAATTCAGATTTAAAAAAATTTCACATACGCACAAACAGTGACTTAAAAAAAAAAAGCAATTAGGGACCTACAAGATGTCAGCTCACTAAAGCACCAACTGCCACAAGCCAGCAGGGCAGCCAGAGAGGATGACAATTCAATTCTGCAAGACTTTCAACGGGACAGACGACAGTTACAGCAGAGCAGGGAGGCAGGCAGCCCTGGGGAAGGGAAGGCCACCTCTCCAGGAACAAGAGCCGGAATTCTCAGAAGCGAGCAACGCAGAAACATTCATCTTCACTAAGTCAGTCATTGTACCACCAGCTGGTTTTATCTTCAAGAAGTGAAACTGCTTGTATTGCATGTTTTCTATAAAGATTAGAGATACCGACACCACAAGCTCCTTGCTAGAGTACATAACAATTTTCCAGGAACTTTCACATGCATGCGCTGGCGTTCATCATTTTTCCTAAGTAACTCGCAGCCATGCCCACACTAATCATCGATACACACTTTAATAAGCAAAGACTTGGTAACATCAAAGTAACATCAAAGAATAAAGAATTAGGAGATATTCCAGGCAATGGTTCTCAAACTCGAGAATCATCTGGAGGGCTGGGCCTCTGACTCGGCAGGTCTGAGGTGGGGCAGTCTATGCAATCTTGAACATTCTAGAATGTTGCTGCATTCTAACCAGTTCCAGGTGATGCTGCTGGTCCAGGGACCGACTTGAAGTACCACCCTTCTGAGCAGGCAAAATAATCTAGCAGTGAAAGTGTACATTAGGAAGAAAGCAACTTCTGTCCTGCAGCTGCATGGGAGGGGAGACAGGAACACCAGACCCGGGGAGCTGACCTCTGAATCACTAGATATTTATCAAAGATGCGTGACGTAGCATCCGTCGCAGAGGCCTGTGGGATTAAGAGAAAAAGAGAAGAAAACCCGCCAGAAAGCGCAGTGCAGGGAACTGCTCTGTCTCCCGGAGGACACAAGGGAGGACACTCGGGATGAGTTGGCTCAGTTCCAACCTTGCCACAGCTGAGGCGGCAACGGATTCAGGAATTCTCATAACCCTGAGGAAAATCGAAGTCTTTACTCACTGAAAGTCTGAAGTATAGCTGTATTCATCTACAAGCCAGGAATAAGCTGGAAACAAGACTCTACTAAAATTTAGCTAAGAAAAATCTGCAAAATTGAATAAACGTGTTAAGAAAGCACCATACGTCCTCCCTCTCCCCCATCAAGGCCCTCACTAAGGGGATAATTCTCACGGCCCCAGGGAGGTCTCTCAACATCACCTCTCCTAGGCTGGGTCTCTTCTGGGCATAGATAAGACAACTCAGGTGGAGTGAAAGGGACAGAACCGACTTTGTCTAAGCTGGAGAGGGGTGAGCCCCTGACACAAGGGGCTGCTGGAGAAGGATGTACAGAATCCTGACACCCCAGGTGACACAGCACACTGGAGTGGCGGAGGCCATCGTCAAGGAGAAGGCAGAAATCTCCCTCACAGGATTATGTCGACACCGCAGAGCTGCAGGGGGATGGACCCACCTCCAGAGATGCACCTGCACGCTCCACAGTCTCCCCAGGGCACCCACCCGGAGCAGTTTTCCCATCAGTGCCCTGACTGACACTGAGCCGCCACCCTGCAATCGCCTGACACCAGCGGTGGAGAAAGAGGCCGGAATTCAACAGTAGTGCTACTGAGAATGCTGCATTTCTGCTGTGTCAGCAGGTCATGTACTCTGGGTTGAATTGTGGCCCCCAAAAATAGATGTGGAGAGCCTAACCCCAGCACCTCAGCATGTGAACCATATTTGGAAAAAGGGTCCGTGCAGTGCAGTTAGTTAAGATGAGGTCATGCTGGAGGGGGGTGAGCCCTTCACCCAGTATGATTCGTGTCCTTATAAGAAGAGACAGAGACAGAGGGCAAGACGGCTGAGTGACGAGAGGAGCAGAGACTGCAAGGATGCATCTGCAAGCCAAGAAACACCAAGGGCTGCCAGCCACCACTAGAGGACAGAAGAGGCGGGAAGGACCCCCCTAGACAGGTTTCAGAGGGAGCATGGCCCCACCGACACCTGAATTTCAGACTCCTGAGCTCCAACACATTTCTGTTGTTTTAAACCACCTGACTTGCAGTACGTCGTTACGATAGCCAGAGGACACTACTACACAAGCAAGGACTGAAGCGTACTGGCACCATCCCTTCTCTAGCCAACTGTGCTAATTGAGGAGGACGTTTATTCTTTAACTCTCAGCATGAAAACAGTGTCATCTGGAAGAAAGCACGCTGTATCGGGAGTCACAGATCTGGATTCTAACCTGCTTACCCGCAGCCCATGCACTCCTCTGAGTCTGTCTCCTGGTCTATGAAGCGAGACAACACTGGCCCCACCTCCTTCAGAGATGGGGCTGTGAGGATAACTACCTGTCCGTGTTTCCTGAGGGGCTTTATTTTCACAGGGAGCACAGAAAGCAACAAAGGCTTCTATAATCATTTCTAGTCCATGTTCTTAATTCTAAGCAAAGCAGCACTTACATCAGCAATCAGCTAACAAGTAACAGAAACTAATGTTAAGGCAAACCCACAAACGCTCCGACACTCTTCTCCAGGAGCCCGCATCAATGGAAGAGAGAAGCAAGCCGCTCGTGGTACTGAGTGCCAGCGCCCCCGGGCTCAGGCAGCACGCCATGTGCACGGTCCCCCGGACTCCTCTACCACCAACAGCTAAGGCACATGGTCCCATCTCCACTTCAGTGAGAACACAAACGAAATGGTTTAGGCTGCGCCCAATCTCAGAGCTAAAAAGTGGCAAAGCCAGTACTGGAATCCAGGTCTGTTTGACTTCACAAAATCTACCACCTTAACTATTCCACCCTGCTGACTCAAACACGCTAAGAGCTGTCCTTTCCCTCTAGCCCCCAGCTGTCACGCAAATGAAAGTACTTTCCACACACGTTCCCATTAATTCCATTATCCCCACTTTGCCAGGAGGAGGCCGCGGCACCAAGGAGTTGAGGGAAGACCCTCCATCACCCAGAGCTGGGACTCCAAACGCCCTGGCTCTGGAAAACGCACCATCCACCTCCTCTCAAAGGAAAGGGCTTCACTAAAGTCATCCAATTCTGCCACTCCAGGCAAAGCCTGGCCACCAGGCTCTCCTCCGAACTCCCCATGGTGGCCTCACCACTCACCTTCCCAAAAATGTACGGAAACCCCACTCGGTGGTATGCAATCTTCCTAACTGGGTTGTATGTCACCATTTCTCTTCTCAGCTGCAGGGTCTCGGAAGAAAATGAATGTGTCTTGTACGGCTCAGGGCCAGGAACAACAGGGTGAAATATCATCATATAAGCAGTTAACTTACTGTGAAGTCAAGCAAATAAGCCAGGGGAAGGGAGAGAATGAACATGGATATGACTCCGTAGTGCTGGCGATTCTGCTCGTGGTCCAGAGTACAAGAGAGATGAGAGACACAGCTGCCCCATGTGATTCACAGGACACTCGCCGCTCACCACACAAAGTCATTCTCGTTCACAGATGCCTAGTTTGTGTTTGTTTTATTTTTTGTTATAGAAAATTACAAACATATACAAAAGTAGAAGGAATACTATAATGAGCCCTTGGTACCCATCGCATGGGTCCAGTGATGATCAATCTACAGCCTGTCTTGTTTCACCTGACAGCCCCCACTACCCCCACCCCCAGGGCACTAGATCCCTCACAAAAGATGACAACGCAGCCAAAAACCCAAGCTCACGACTTCACCTGCCACTCCAGGCAAGAAGTTGTCATTTACCTCAGCACCCAGGAGAGAGGTCTCTAACGCCACACTTGCCCTAAGGAGAATCGGTGCTTTTACTATTGCACTTTTCACACTATATCCCGACCCCACTCCAGCAGGCAGCGAATACACAATTACTACAGAACCTCAGTTCCTCCTCGACTCTCTGAAACCTGTACGTCATGCATCATCTTTACTCACAAAGTCCCTCACTTGCTGGTAAGTTATTTGCTCTCCGCCTGTAGACATGAAACAGCCAGATGACTAGGAATACATTTTTTCTACTGTCTTTTTTTACTCTTATTTTAAACTTTTATTTATATTTCTTATTTCTACCTGGAATTCTCAAAACTATTAGATATTAGGAAATAGACCCAGTAATATGGTCTTAGCTTTTCCATCCGTAAAAAAAAGAAACAAAGAAAATGACTAACAAAACCATTACTGGCCCATCTTCACCCAACGCCCATGTTCAACCTTTCCGGCTGAGACAGTGTAACGCCTGCACAACAGCTGCCGCTTCTGACAGTCCACTTATTGTAAATGACAAAATGACCTGTGGCACAGCCTTCACTGAAGCAGTGCGAATGCTCTCCAATACGACACACTTGACTTCCAGAGAGTCAAAGTGCAAGACAAACATTCAAATACCAACATTCCGTTTCCGGTAAATTTTAAAAGAATTCTCCTTACAAGTAGCACTATATTAAAATACAATTCTCCCTATATGAAAACTATTGTCGGGAACAGAAAGCAAGCAGCTCCCATGTTTAGAGACTACTTAGCAGAGATGAATAATCGTTCCCTGGAATGCTCACTGTTTAGATTTCAACCGAAGCTGAATTATCACAAAGTAGGAAAATCCAAGGCTAGAGGAAACACTGGCTGTTTTCTCCACATACATTACACTAGGGCCTTGCATACAAGTAATAATGGTGGGGAATGAATTAAACCATCTTAAAGTGTGTACGGTGGTTACTGTAGTACCTTTGCTGCTAGGATAGATGAATTTCTTTTTCAAAATTAAATCACTTGAGTAAAAACAGTAAAGAATGTTTGTAATTAAATACAGGTAAAAGCTGACTGTTGGCCAGTTTGTAATTATGGTGCCAAATGTAACATGCCTTTCTGGTATTTTTATATAATTAGTTACAGTTTAATACTCTATAGCAAAATGTTACATTGTTTCATGTTCTTATATTTTTACTACATATTTCTCTCCATTATTAATATTATATAAATACTATTTGCAGGTACTTAGAGTTCACATAAATAGTATTGTGCTGAACAAAGCCTTCTGCAATTTGGTTTTTTTCTCTCGATGGTATGTTTGAAGATTTCTCCTTTTCTCTCACTTTTGCTCCTCCTGACAATCAAACCAGTTATCTTTTGTCTTTCACACTAATTTGTCCCCACTTCAGAGCCTTTGGACTCACTGTGCCTTCTGCCCAGATCTGTTCCCGCTCGCTCCTTCCTCTCATTCAGATCTCAGCTCTAAGAGACTCACCCTGACTGCCCTGTCCACAGTGGCCCACGCCCATGCCCACACCCCTGTTCATTTCCTTCACAGCACTTAGCACAAAAACATTTTACTGCGCATTTACTTCACTGCTTCACGTCCACTCCCCCACTACAAGTTTCACGGGAACAAGGACTTCATCTGTTTTTCACAACTCATGCACCACGCCTAAAACAGAGCCTGGAACACAGCACCCTTCAGTAAAGATAGCTGAAGGAATGAATGAAGAGCAAAGAGAGGGGACCAAGATGTGAGGGTGGAAAGGGGAGGAAGCACATGCAGAAGGACAAAGAAAGGCAAGAAACAAAGACAGACACACCTGGCTGAGATGAAGCGGGTGCGAAATGGACAAGACACAAAGGGCAGAGACGATCTCGGCTGCTGGCTCGCTAGTCCCTAGTTCCATTCCCTCATGAGGTCTGACGGCACATTCTGCCCTCGAAGTCTAAGGCCCCATTCTACCTTTTAATAAATCTCTCTTGTCTGTTTTAGCTAATGGGCTTCTGTCCCTTGCAACTGAAAGAGCCCTGAAGACAACAGTCTCTAGAGTCATCCACATTTTTCTCATGATGAGTATTTGCAAACGGAAACACATCAATTCAATAAACACCTGGCAGGTGCTCTGTGCAGAATACTGAGGCTTCAGAACAAAACTGACAGCACAAGTCTGCCCTGGAAAGGGTGAAGAGTCTGGGGGAGAGTGCAGGAAGAAAACAGGACTGCATCTGTGCTTGGAGACAGGAAGATGGCCATCTCTGGGGACATACGAGGGAAGGAGGGTAGGAAGACTTCCTGGGGGCAGTGAGCAGGCTGGGACCAACAGACGGTGTGAGGCAGACAGAGAAAAGTGGAGAGAGAGAGATGTCCAGTGGTTTTAGACTCAGGAAGCAGCATGCAGAAAGGCATGGAAGGAGGAGGCTGCGCCAGGCCCAGCACAGTGTCTTATGACTGGCCCAAGGTGCTCTGTGGGAAGTGAGGGTGCTAAAGACGAAACCCATTTATGAATTGCCTCTCTCTTAGGTTTTCTATTCCTTAAATTCAGAATAGACTTGCAGTTAAAACCAAGAATTATTAATCTGTGGAAATGTAGAGCTTTTGCTATCTTAAAAAATGGGACACAATGTATGCAAACAGATACATTTATTATAGTTAAGAATAGAGAAGCTATAGATTCCACTGTGGGAATTGTTTACATGATGATAAACATATTAAAAGTTGGCAGGAATGAATAAACTATGAAATTCTAAACTATAAACATATGCATATATAAAATTATAAATACATTATAAAATTCTTAGTAGCTTAAGTTTCAGTGAAATATTTACCAAAAAATGCTTTATTTTATAAGTTGAATCTGAGTCTTTACTACATAACATTCTGCACCACCTACGCAATCTAAGCTGTCGAAAAACAACTTTAGAAATATCTGGGCAGTTTTTCCTGCCCTTTAAAAAATTCTATTTGCAATTCATTACCTTGAACCCAGCGATTAAAAATAGTAAGTTCCTGGGGCCGGCCAGGTGGTATAGTGGTTAAATTCACACGCTCTGCTTTGGTGGCCCAGGGCTCACAGTTTCGGATCCCAGGTGTGGACCTAGCATCACTGGTCAAGCCACGCTGTGGCGGTAGCCCACATAAAGACATAAAGTAGAGGAAGACTGGCACAGATGTTAGCTCAGCGACAACCTTCCTCACAAAAAAACAAAATAAAAACAGTAAGTTCTCATTTCTCTTAGGTCTACTAATGAATATCACGTCGCTACTTTGTGTTTCTGTCAATTATCCTGCAAACAATTCCCATGGTTGAAATCTGTAGTTTCTCTATGCCTAACTGTAATAAACATACCAATTTGCATACACAAACTTTAAAAACCAAAGTAATCAAAACATATTTGGAACCATTATCTGGTAGAACAGCTATTCCATTTTGATTTGCTTACATCCTGAAATGTGTTTCATTGTGCCTTCTTCCCTCTTCCCTCCCCAGATCACGTGCAACCACAGCACACACTCAATTCATTTTTGTGTCTCTGCACCCAGCACATTACCTCATAGACAGCACTCAAGTGTCTGTTGGACAGGTAGTTCTTTTACTTTTTGTAAATCAGAAATATCCTTCTGAATTTAGAGTCTAGGAGATCTTCGGCAAGTCACTTAAACTTTCTGTGACCAAATGAACTGGTTGCTCAAAAACAGAACCATTGGTTAGAAGCACCTGAATCTACATTTGACAAGTTATATTGGGCAGACTAATTTTGAAGTCCTTTCCAAGTAGTTATCAGTGGTAATCTTTTTTTCAGGAGGAAGCATTAACAGCCAATAAAGGAAACTTTTTAGAGGCATCACAAATATTTCGTCAGTGTGGACACTGTTGACGAGGCATTTTAAGCTTAAAATTAAATATCAAGCTTAAAATTAAATATCAAACTTTACGTAGAAAAAAACATCAGCCATTTAGAAACATGGTTGCGAACACTCAACTACTCCAAGAACTACCCGGAAGGGATACATTTCCTGGGAGAAAAAAGCAGTTATCTTTTATATCTGATAACTTTAAGAGGAGTTTTTAAATATTAAAATTTATTAAACTTTAAGTATGTCAAATTCAATTTTAACTTACTATTTTATCCTAGAGAGAAGATTGCTTTTTATAACTTCCTAAAAACATTTAAAAACTAATAAATATTCATAGCACTTATAATTACATAGTATTTTCTCTCTCCCTTCTTCTCCCCGAGTGTCACACCTAGGAGATAATCTTATATTTCACAACTCCCTCTCTGAGTAGACAAGAGACATACTATTATCCCCATTTTATATAGAGGAAAATTGAAGTTTTGAGAGTTTTAAAAATTATTTGCCCAAGATGAAACAATTCCAGAAGCAGAAACTTCCACTCATTTGCTCTAAAACTGCTCAGTCTCCTCCTCTAGAGCAGGATGATAGTGGACTAAAGGTTACTTCTAGCTCTAAAATTCGAGGTCAAAAACAGGTTTACATGTTCTTCCTGACACTGCTGCAGTAAGAGCTGGTATATATGTAAACTTAAAGAGTGATAAATAACTGCCTTATTTTTTGCCAAGCCAAGAAAAGCTGCTTATAAACTCTACTGACGTCTTTTTATGATTCTCCAACAACATTACATAAATTTAGCCATCTTTTGCTAAAACAGTTACAGCTCTCATGTTCAGATACATTCAGCATTTCTTCACTGAACAAATACTTGAGCTACGACTCAGGGCTCGGGAAAGACTGTAAAGTGAGATAACGCAACAGCAATTTGCTATGGTTAACATGATGTTGATCTGCGAACTGCAAAGGTCAAAACATTTGACAATAAAAAGGGAAGGAAAGAAAAATCACTATGAAGAAACTTTCTCGGAATGAGTGTAAAGTGTAATTTCCATGATCCTAAGGATGAATAAGTCACTGCCTTTCTGACCTAGGGTTCCTCATCTGACCCCCAGAACACAGACAACGATTTGAGAGCCTGTTCTCTCTACTCTCCAAAGCATGGGACATCACTGGCCCCAATCTAGAGGCGAAGGAGAGAACTCAATTCACTACACACAATGGATGCCTTAGGCCAGGAGGCCTAGCACTCTGCCCCGAGGCTGCCAGGCTTCAGAGGGCGGGGGCTTTCTCTGCGTCCTGGGAAACAAACCTGCAGACATTCGGCGTTAATTACTACCTGTATCTCTAAAGAACAAAGTCACCACGAGTTCTGCCGACCTACAATGTTTCAACTCTTCCACATTCTACAAACCCCCGCCACAGGCGGGCTGTCACCCTCTCATTCACAGCGCTGGCACTGTAAGGCGCGCAGAACTCCTAAGGGACTGCTCCCCCGTCCCCGCAGGCGCGGGGATGCGCGGCGGTGACTCACCGGCACCTGCGCGGGGGGCGGCTAGGGAGCCCGCGCCCGGCCGGTGCTCACAAAGCGCGCTCCTCGCCGGGCAACAGGGGCCGGTCTGCACCGCCTCGCCCGGCGCCCACGTCCACGCGGCCCGTGTGCACTAACCCGCTGCCACCTCCGGAGCTCCCGCCGCGCGGGGACCAGCCGCTGCGCCGGGGCGGACGCCCAGCACGGTGGACCGGCCGCGCTTCCACGAGGGGTTTCCGGCCGCGGTCCGCGCCGTGCCAGGGCTCAAGCAGGGCGCAGGGACGGCTGACGCGGGGAATCACCGCGCGGGGACGCGGGGCCGAGGCCGGGGAACCACCGCGCTGGTGCAGCACCCAGCTCCCCATCCGCGGAGGCGAGGCCGGGGACAGTCCGCCTCTGGCCGTCGGGCCGTCCGGGCCGGCGCACGGCACCCGCGCGGGGCTGCGGGGACAGCCCGCTCCGCGCTCCCCGCCCTGCACGGCGCCGCCGCCCGCGCGCCCGCCCGGCCCGAACCGCTATCCGCCCGCGCTCACCGCCGTCAGGTCCGGCAGCCGGTCCCGCATCCCCGCGGGCCGGGCGCCGCGCCCCGCCGCTCAGGCCTCCCGACGCCGCTCCGGCCGGCCGCGGGCCCTGGGTGGCCGCGCCGCCGCCTCAGCCCGCCGGTCGCCGGGCTCCGCGCCGCGCCCGCCTGCCGCCCTCCCCTCGGGCCGGCGCTGCCACGGCAACCGCGCCCGCGCGCTCTGCGCATGCCCGGCCCGCGCCGCGCCCCGGCCCACGCAGTCTGCGGGAGCCTTCCTGCGGGAATGCCGCGGCCCGAGGGGCGGGGCCTAGCGGAAAGGGGAGGGGCCTGGCGGGAGGGGCGGGGGCCTTG